AGGGGAGCTTCTGGCCGGCTTGCACCACCTGGGAGAGGGTGGCCCCAAGGTGAAGGGGAAATATGAGCCCCTGGGGGCCCAGATGCTGGGCCATTACCTTTCCTGGGTTTCATAGGCATCCCAATCATTAGCACCAGTGAGTGAGCCCCAGTGAAAATGGAGCCTCCCAGGCCTCTGATAAAGCCAGCAAACCTGCCCCCTTCTGGGCTCAGGTGAAGAAATTATTCCCCCTGGTCTCACACAGGTGAAGGGTGGGCAAAGGCGCCCAGCAAAGGCTTCACTTTAATTTGCTCCTACAGGTGACTAGGCTAGAACTTTGACTTGGAAAAGATTTGGCCCTGCTTCCAGAGCTGTGGAGGCAGCAATATTCCTCACAAGTGAACACTAGGACTTCAACCCATTTTCCCAATTCTCCGTGTGGTGGGGGTCCCTTGTGGGAGCCCAGATCCAGCTTTAGCACAATAACGGGAGAGGATACCAATTGAAAAATGGGCCAAGTTTTTACAAGCACAGCATTTTACAGAACAGAACCATAAATGGTCCATAATCATATAGGGGAAAGGTTCAGAAATCACAAGTAATCAAAAATGCACATTAAAACTTAATAAGGGTGGCAGAGAATTTATTGATGAACAGACTGGTTAAAATGAAAAACAATGAAAATACCAAGAGTTATCTGGGAATGGGGAACCAGGTGTTCCCCACACAATGCTGGGAAGCATGTAAATTAGCACAATCTTTCTAGAAAGCAATCCAGAAATGTGTTTACCAAACGCCTGCATAGTTCCTTTGACAGAGTAATTTCACTTCTAGCAATTTAAATGAAGGAAAGAAGACATATGCAAAGACATTCATTTCAGCAAGGCTTAAAATAGCAAAAAAATAAAAACAGCTTAAATGACTAACAATAAAGGACTGATTAAATACATTTCGGTTCAACCCTTAAAGAAATACTATATAACCATTAAGATATTATGATATTAAGTAGGATAATGAGGCAAGATAGTCATAGTATTTTGTTTGGAGGAGAGGAAGAAAACAAGTTACAACAGTGTGATTCCAAGTTACAATTAGTATATAAGGAATGACTCCGTTTTTCTACAAAGATGTAATCAATAGGAATCGGCAGGAAAGAAAAAAGTCTGGAAGTATTATACATAAAAATTAACAGTGGTTATCTTTGGGTAAGATTACATATTTTCAATTTCTTTCTCTATGCTTGCCAGATTGCTAGAATTTAATTCTACAATTAAATTTATATTTTCTAATGATAAGGGGTTGGACCAGATGATTTATAAAGTTCCTGCCAACTATGACATTTATGACTGATGTCCCAATTGACTTCAAACAGCCTATATTTAGCGTGGGCTTCTGGTGTGGCCTTTGGAGCCTAAGTCATTGCCCACAGCTAAAGCCCTCTGCATTTCTCTCTCCTTACTCTCTGCCCAGCTGTCACCCTAGCCAGCCTGGGAGCTTCCCCTGTAATTCACGTGCCTAGCCAAGAGCTGAGAAAAGGAACTCAGCACAGCGACAGGTGCCATGGGGGCACAAAGAGATGAAAGGCAGAACTCTAGCTCTAGAATCTTACTGGGACACGGGACTCACACACAAAGTGCCTGGTTGTATAACACAAACTAAGAAAACCAGAGGAGAAAGAAAGCAGGGCAAGCCAGGCTGGGAAGGCCTGAGAGAAGAGGCCATGCAGGATGGGCGGATGAGAGCATTGCAGGCAAGGGGCAGAGCCTGAGCAAAGGTGAAGCCAACCCAAAGTCCTTTGGAATACATGTCCGAAATCTTTCCAAGAAACTTTCACAATCCTTGGTCTGCTGGATTTCTGAACTTTGGCCCAAATGTGTGAAAGTTAAGTCTCCTAAACAGAAGTCTTCCCTCTGTCTAACCCTGGATTAGCCACCAAAGACAACTTAAGTCTTTTGGAGAAAAACAATATAATCTTTTTATTCACTTTCCCCACCCCTTCCAATGGGAGGAGAGGACGGTGAAGAAGGGTCTGGGGTAGGAGAGGGAATTGCAGGAACCAGCCATCTCACATGCAAAGAGTGCTCACCCCCACCACCGGGCCATGCCCTTGGCTTCTCTCGCAGGATACCACCAGCCCCATTTGACAGATGGAGGAAAAGAGGCTCCCAGGGTTAAAATGGCTTGCTCCAGGGTCACCCAGCCAGAGAGTGGGGAAGGCGACTCCACTCAGGCCTTCTGACTCCAAGTCCAGTGCTATTTCGAGGTAACACACAGGACCTGGAGTCAGGAGCCCTGGGTGGCTCTGTCACCCGCTGGCTGCGTGGTCCCGCACAAGCCCTCACCCCTCACAGCCTCTATCCCCAGGTGTAAAATGAGGAGGCTGGGGATGGCACGCCCAAGGCCTCTTACCGCTGGGCTCCCTAAGCCTTCTAGGGAAGGCTGCAAAGCTCTCCCTATCAATTACATTTCCCAAGTTGGGCCGGCAAAGATCACCCGAAGATCCTCGGCCTGTCACGTGGTTAAATAAAAAAAGCAAACGTCCCAGATTAACTTTCACTGCGCTGCTTCTGCTGACACCTGATTACCCAATTTTCTAGTTTCCTTGGGTGAAATATCCCTACTGGGTAGGCCCGCTAGGCGGCTAACAGGGCAAATAATTTATTGGTGAGCCAAAGAACACTGAAGATGGAGTTAAAACCTGGAGTCGGGTCCCCCGCACCGCCAGTTCTTGCTCTGGGCCCCTGAACAAGTCTCGGGCTATTTCAGGCCTTCTTCACCCGCGTCTCAATCCAGAGGCTTGGAAACACTCCCAGACAAGTGCGACGGCCGAGGGCAGAACTTTCCCAGGGGCAACCCTGTCCCGCCCGCACCCAGTCCCCCCAACCCCCGCGGTCCACGGGGGCGCGGTGGAGCCGGGCCAGGCTCCGCAGTCCGCGCAGCCCTGGGCTCCGCGCTCCGGGCGTGTGACAGCGCCGGGTGACCGCCGCGGGAGCTCCACTGCGGTTTCGTCAGAGGGAAAGGTACGCGCCCGGCGCGCGCGGCGTGTGCACACAAACGCACACCCCCGCGCGCGCAGCCCACTCGGCACACACGGCCCCGGCCTG